AAAAAAAAAAAAAAAAAAAAAAAAAGGAAAAGAAAAGAGAAGAAAAAGAAAAATGACCAGGAAAAGAATAAGGACACTCTCTTTAACCCTAGGACATTCAGGGCCTTTGCATGGAGCTATATCTTCAGTACTTTTTTTTTCCTTAATGAGACAGGATCTCACTAAATTATAAATTGCCCATACTGGGCTCAAGCTTGTGATCCTTCTGTCTCAGGTGCTCAGGGTGTTGGAATTACAGGTGTGTACCAGCAGGTCTGGTCTGGCTTTAGCATTTGTTTCAGAAATCTGAGTAATGGTGTACCTGGCATCGGCTTGGAACCTCTGTAAGTTCCCTGGAGTCAGCAGAGACATGGGACAGCTTTTCTGTTTTTTTTTTTTTTTTTTTTTGCTCCGAATGCTTTCAGGGCAGGTTTGGCTGGCTTGAATTGTAGGGATCGAACCACAACAACCTGAGCCTGACTGCTTTGTGGAAGCAGCCACTTAAAGAACTGAGCTACGGGGCAGGCCCCCCAGCTTTTCTGGCTAGGCAATGGACCCTTACTCAGTTCACCCAGCAGGGAATAGCATGGTGGCAGCATAGACTTTAAATTTGCACAAATCCCCATAAAACCAGGCAGAATCATCAAGAGAGCAAAGGGAAAACCTCACAGTCAACATCTTCAAGACAAGTCAAGGCAATCCAGTGTTGCCACAAAGCCCAGATTCTGCATGGAAGCACCCTGGAGGGCACACTGGGTTGGGCTCCCAGAACACCTGAAGTCCACCAGCAAAAGTGGGAAGCTCAGCTGCCTGAGTCTTCAGGTGTCTTAGAGGCTCCCTGCAAAAGCTCTTCCAGCACTGAAACACTTCCAGGACTACTAGAAACAGTGCTAGGCTCCAAAAGCACACTGAAGATGGCAAGCACATCAGGACCCAGGAGGTGGTCCCTGTAGACACGCATCTCTCCATGGGGAGGGGGCTGCACAGAGAGGCCTCATGGTGTTCAAAACATTTTAGGAAACAGAACTGTTCCAGAAGAGCAAGCAAAAAGGAACACAAGAGCAAAGAAGCGTTCCAGGAAAGAGGACTGGAATCAAGGAAATCAAAATATGTCCAACAGAAATAAAGGGATTTGAGAGGAAATAAGAAAAGGAGACAGAAAAAAAGAGGTCATAATACCTGTGAATATGGTATCCCTGAAAAACAAAAGAGTGAAGTCAATGTGGAGAATACTAAAAGTTACAATTGAAGAACTATTTCCTGAGGTGAAGGAATAACCTGAGGAGGGACTCTGCCATCCCCCAAGTGTGACAGGTATAGAGTGCACCTGGCAAATGGGCAACAAATATACAGTTCAAGAAAATTACTCAGTTTTATGCAATGCCTTGGGTATCCACTCTCCTTTTCCTCTTCCCACCTCCATCCATGATTCTCTTACAAAAAACATTAGAATGGCTTTAGTTATCTACATTTCACTCCAGAAGATGGTGGAGCAATATGTTTCAGATCCTCAAAGAAAGAAAAGGAAAGAAAAGAAAAGAAAAGAAGCCATTGGTTTTATATCTGGGGAAACTGATCTTGAACAATATACCTGTATTGTATCACCATGAAAAGTGTAAAAGTGCATATTATTGTATGTGCATCTCTAAAGGAATCAACTCAAGAATGAGCTTCAGAAACCATAAAGTTATGAGCATAAGGTGAGTCTATTGAACTATGGAGCTAAGAATAAATGATAGGGACAGAATGGTATGCTCAGGCCGGCCAAATAGCTCAGCAGATTAAAGCACCTGCAAGCAGATGCAGGGGCCAGGAGTTTGATCTCTGGGCCTGCTGTGCTGGCTCCACCCCTGGGGCAAGCTGAGATGGCAATTGAGATGGGGCGGGTGTTGTGTGCCTGTAATCCCAGCTCTTGGGAGGCTATAAACAGGCAGATCACTACGAGTCCGATCTAGTACTGAGACCCTGAATACCCTGTAGACCCTTCTCTAAAAAAAAAAGGCACGTTCATAGCGTACAAAAAGGTAGAAAAAGAGTGATATGAAAAGTATGTGCCAGTTTAGGAAAGAATGTCAAACTCCTAATTTAGGATACCAAACTGGGAATGGTGGCCCATGCCCATAATCTTAGCTCTCTGGGAGCCAGAGACAGGAGGATTTCAAGTTGGACCCAAGCCTGAGTAATTTAGCAATTCTCTGTCTCAAAAAATAAAAGACTGTGCTCAATGTGAAGGGCCTAGGTTCAGTACTAGTCACACACACACACACACACACACACACACACACACTCACATACACACTTTCTAATGTAATATGTATTAGGATATGCTATTCATATAGATTTACTGCATCTTAACTATATTTGAGGATACTCATTAAGAATTTGTGGTTTCCAATAATGCACAATGTTTTTCCCAATTAAAAAAGAGAAACATGTGCCTAGGATTGTTTTCCCTCAGAATGTCACTCTTCAAGGACATAAGACCGATGGGAAGAAGGCACTTATGTATAGAAACCTAACATAAAACAGCAGGAGGGAGACCAAACTCACTGACAGTGTGAATCTACTGATTTACTTGCTTAACTCAGCCATTATAAGAAAAAGAGGGGCCAGGGGAGATGGCTCAGTAGAATAAGTGCTTCCTTGGCAAGCACAAGGGCCTGAGTTCAATCCCCAGTTTCACAAAAAAAAAAAAAAAAAGAAAGAAAGAAAGAAAAAAGAAAGAAAGAAAAGAAAAGAAAAAGATTTTCCAGGCAGATCTACAAAGCTTGTGGAATTCAAAACAAAAGACACGCAAAGTGATCAGGTAAATGAAGAAACAGTAAGCAGGACCGGACCAACACCCAGACCCAAAGTACAGCTTAGAAAGAGACAGTCAGGTGAAAGCTGAAATTCGCAGTGAAAAGAGAAGCTATGGAGCTCCTCAGCATAATGTGCAGCATCCTTATTTACAGAGCAGAGACCACAGCATGTGGGAGGAGAAACACTCACTGCTCACAGTGGCTGGCAAAGGCCTCCTGCCACACCTCCTGGTAAAGCGACTAAAGGTCTAAGGATGGTCATGAGCAGATCTCAGAGATTTCCGTTGCTTTTTCCCTGCTACCAGCTGACACCTCAGGTGCACCACAGATGTATCTGAGAACCAACAATCTTTAACACCAAAAGAAATTGTAGCCACTCAACTTACACTGTCTATAGTGCACAAAACAGAGAACAGTGGATTTGTCCAATAAGAAGCTGGGTTCAACTTTCCTGGACTTTCAGCAGTCATCTAGCTTCAATTGCTGGACATACAAAGTTAAGACACTATAAATTACCTAGTTTTACTGTTAAGATAAAATAAGTTATGTATGTCAAAGTTCATTTATAAATATAAATGCTGCGTTATATTGTGTAACTATAAAATGCTATAATACCTTAAAAAAAACAAAACAGTGGGAAGAGCAGATTTTTAGGTCTAAGTACAAACAGAAGAGGAGAGTACAGAAATTCCTAAAAATGAACAATAACAGTAACAAGACACATACTCTCAGAACATAAGCTTTGACATTTCATTTCAGGTTTCTGTGAATGAATATGAAAGAAATAAAAAACAGGCAACCAAACAGCAAGAGAAAGAACAAAAATGTTTAAGAGGAATTAATAAACTTAAAAGAGTTTAGCATGTTAGAAAAAACAGGAATGATGAAGGATAGCAGTCAGAATGGCATTTTGAGGTTTACCTTTTTAAATGTTCTAGAAAAAAATACTGAGATTATGTGAATTATAGAATTTTCTCATGATTCTAATTCGGCTGAGGGTAGTCTTAGAAAATTTTACTTTTTTTTTTTTTTTGGCAGAACCGGGGATTGAACTCAGGCCCTTGTGCTTGCCATGCAAGCGCTTATTCTACTGAACCATCTCCCCAGCCCAGCAAATTTTATTTTCCTGGGAAACTGCTGTTTTATCTAGGTGTTCAGTTTCATTTGTATAGAATGTCCATAATAGTCTTAGAATATATTTGTTAAAAATCTTCCTATGTCTGGACTTTATGTCTTTAATTTTTGGGCTATCACCCCTTCTTTACATTTTAAGAAATTCTTTGCAAATTATTGGTATGGTGTTGCACACCTGTAATCCCACCTCTCAGGAGACAGAGATAGGACGATTGTTGCATGTTCAAGGTCATCTTGGATTACAAAGTTAGTTGAACACCCACCTGAACTACAATAGCAAGTCCCTATCTCAAAAAGATAAAAGTAAATTGTACAGAAAATAACACTGATAGAAAGCTTTATCAAGGTAACATATAAGAGGAAGAATAGACCAATCTCACTTAAGAATAATAATATTGATATCTAGTATCCAGTTAAAAAGAAAATATATCACAGATAAATTCAGTCTATCTCCAAGTGTCTAAAGATCATAAGGTCCAGTAATCTAATTTATAGATGGGAATTATTGACCCCGTTTACATATCTTTGGAGAAAACTCCTATGATCATCATAGATGAAAAATAAAACTCAGCACACACTAACAGTAAAAGTTAGCATTGATACACGTTTCCAAGCCAAGTGTGGAGGTATCTGTCTGTAATCCCAGCACCCTGGGAGCCAGAGGAAGGCCAACGGCAAATTTGAGGCCAGCCTGGGGAACTTAATGACTTAGTAAGATCCTGTCTGGAAAAAAAATGTGCACTGTTCCAGCTACCAAGTGTTCTGCCTTCTTTCTCTACTTGTCTACAGGAAAGATGAGAGGAAGTTAAATGACACCCTGAAAAGCACACATGAAGAGCTAGAATCACATGCTGTATAGGACTAACCATCCTACTTCTATAACAAATACACCACTTTTTGGGTCACTTTCTTCACCAATGAGATGTAATGACCTGATACTACAAGGTCTTTTTTTTTAAAATTGTATTTTAGGGAATGGTCTACAGGGGATTCAGGGTCTCACTACTAGATTGGACTTATAGTGATCTGCCTGTTTACAGCCTCCCAAGAGCTGGGATTACAGGTGTGCACTACCATGCCCAGTTTTAATTGCTGCCTCAGTGAGCCCTCAGGGCGGCTCCAGCACGGCAGGCCCAGGGATCGAACTCCCGGCCTCTGCATCTGCCTGCAGGTGCTTCAATCTGCTGATCTATTTGGCCAGCCCTAATACCTGATACTACAATATAAAGGAGGAGAGGTTTATTTGGGCTCATGCATTAGTTAAAAGCTGGCTAACTTCAAGGCAGAGTGGCATGGCACAGGGCGTGGCAGAAGGAAAGCTGCTCACCTCATGGCATCCAGGGAGCAGACACATGCTCCAGGGAGAAGGCAGGAGCAAAGCAGACCAAGCCCGGTCTCACCCACAGAGACCCCTCTTTTAGTCAGGCCCACCTCCTAATAGCAGGGAAGTTATCAGGCCCCGTGACCCCATCACCTTCCAAAGGTCCTGCCTATGATGCCATGAGGATTTAGGGGACAAAAAGCACCACCAAAGGCTGAACTATGTTTCCTATTTGCTGTCTCTTGCAGGTGCCCATTTTCATCCCCATCTTGGTGATTCTCATATCTGTGTTTTTGGTTCTGGCTCCGATCATTACTGACCCTGCCTGGGAATATCTCTACTGTGTGGTGTTCATACTGAGCGGACTCATATTTTACTTCCTTTTCATCCACTACAAGTTTGCATGGGCTCAGAAAATCTCAAGTAAGTACCAACAGAAGGCTGTTTGACATCCATGAAGACAGGCACCAGCTCAGCTGTCCTCGTCCTACAAAGCTCCTCACCACAGGACCTAACTAGCAGACTGTAGCTTCTCTGGACATTTTATTCTCTCCTCATGGTAGTGCCCCTAGGTTCGGCCTTGGGCTCCTCTGTTGCTTTTTGGTTTTGGTGGGGCGTAGGGCGAGGGAGTCATGGGGTTGAGACAGGGTCTCACTAAGTTGTGCACACTGGCCTTGAACCCTTGATCCTTCTGCCTCAGCCTCCACAGTGCTGGGATTACAGGTAGGCATTACCATACCTGGTCTTTCCTGCTAATGACTGTAACAAGCAACAACAAAAAGCACTGTTTTCTTTTTTTAATTGTAAAATACCTTAACATATATTTTCCTTCTAATCCCCCGTTGAGCAGGCAGGTCAGCAGTGTGGAGCATATTCTCATCTTCTGAGCTCCTTTGCTTCTGACGGCGGTGTAGACATCCTCTAAGAGGCTCTGAGGCTTCCCAAAGACCCTGATGAGGGCCTGAGCCTCTCCTCGCTGAGGCCATAGGGGTCACTCTCCATCTTGATCCTCATCTATCTTGGGACAAATGTTTACTAAGTTAGCTACACTGGCCTCTGTGCCTCTAAAACAAAAGCACTATGCCAAAGTCTGTGGAAAGAGACTCGGAACCATACCTGTGCTTAGTGTTGGTAGCTATCTCATATCCACAGCAGTTTGTCTCTGGTAACAGCTCAGTTTCAGAAAAGCTTCAGGCTCCTGAGCAGCCTCACAGGGAGTGAGGTGATCAGTGGTTTATTTTCTGTCTCTGCTGTGACAGCCTTTAATTGGGCTCTGCACAGTTTAATCCTGGATCCAGCACCGTGGCCAGCACACTCCAGCTCCTCATAATGAATTTGTAAGTGTGATTAAAAACTTGCCTCTTCCCTGCTCCTGTCAGCCTATCCAGCCAGGAAAGTAAGCCCTGCAATGAGCTGTGTAGTTTTTCTTTTTATACTTACAACTTAGAAGATGAAAATAACTGTCTCCATCCATCCATGCATCCATCCATCCATCCATCCATCCATCCATCCATCCATCCATCCTTCCATCCTTCCATCCTTCCATCATCTATATAAAACTTAGGTATCAAAGCACAAAACCAACTACAAGATAGGGAAGCACAGCCCAAAGTGGGTGAGCTTGCCTTTCCTGTCTCCTCAGCTGGGGAGTCAGGGACCATTGCTCATCTGACAGTGGTGCTGGGGGAAAGGGCCAGAATTCATTTCCTGTTCATTAGCAAAGTAAAAACAAAGCAAAACAAGGTCATGTCCTTCAGGGACTTTTTCTTTCCTGCATAGTTCTTTTTACCCCAAACCTCTTTCCGACAACCTTAACCTAAGCTGATTAGCTGCAGGCACACACCTATAGAAAGGAAAGAAAATTAATAAAATGCCCATTCCCTGTCCCCGTGCCTTGGAAATGCACTTTGCTGTGATCAGACAGAGAAGCTAAGCAGGATGACTTGTAACCTAATGTTAAAAAATATGTCTTGCTTCTCAGCTCTCTATTTAACCAAGTTCTTCCCTCCAAAAACTGTTAGGCACTTGTGTGAAGGTACTGAAAAAATCTGAACAGTTTTTATTTTAAACAAAAACTGCCTTAGTGACTTCCATTGAAGTTTGGTTTTGTTTTGCTTTTGGAACTGAGGCCCGAACCCAGGGATTTTAGCTTGCTAGGCAAGCCCTCTGCTGCTGAGCTCAATCCTCAGCCCCTAGTGAATCCAGACTGGTTACCACTTTGACAGCAGTAGTGAATACCTCCACATGAATGGGTCACTCATATTTCTCCTATGGCCTCCAATGCACACTGAATTTGTAAGCATTAAAAACCTCCCTCTTCCCTGCTCCTGTCAGCCTATCCAGCCAGGAAAGTAAACCCTCCAGGAGCTCCTATGTAGTTTTTATTTATATACTTGGATCTTACAAAATGAAAATAACCCTCTCTCCATCCATCCATCTATCCATCCATCCATCCATCCATCCATCCATCCAACCATATATCCATCCATCCATTGATTGAATCATCCATCCTTCCATCATCTACATAAAACTTAGGTATCAAAGCACAAAACCAACTACAAGATAGGGAAGTAGAGCTGGGATGTAAGCGCAGCCAAAAGTGGGCGAGCTTGCCTGTCTTCAGAGCCTTTCCTGTCTCCTCAGCTGGGGAGTCAGGGACCATCACTTATCTGATAGTGGTGCTGGGGGAAATGGCCACAATTCATTTCCTGTTCATTAGCAAAGTAAAACCAAAGCAAAACACGGCCATGTCATTCCCATCAGGGACTTTTCCTTTCCTGCATAGTTCTTTTTACTCCAAATTTCTTTTGACTCATCTTAACCTAAGTTGATAGGCCACAGGCACAGACCTATAGAAAGGAGAGAAAATTACTAAAATGCCCATTCCCCACCCCTGTGCCTTGGAAATGTATTTCAACTTGATCAGACAGAGAACCTAAGCAGGATGACTTGTAACCTAATGCTACAAAATACAGTTTGCTTCTTATCTCTGGCATATTTAACCAAGCTCTTCCCTCCAAAAACTGGTCAACAGTTGAGTGAATGTAGTAAAAACCGAATGGTTTGCATATGAAACAAAAGCAGCCTTAGTGACTTCAGACTAGTCATCCCTTGGACAGCAGTAGTCAGTACACCCACATAAATGGGTCACTTGATTTCTCCAATTGAGGTTATTGTTGTGGGCAACAATAAAATGTTTCTCAGGTTTCCAGTTCCTTAATAGGAAATAACTGATTTCTAAAGAACCCGTGCAGCCAGCAGGATAGTTCTGATTCACTATAATCTGCAGTTGTCTTGATTGCAGGGTCTAAGAGGGACATATGACCACGGTAAAAATGACATCACTGCTCACCAGCCAGCACAGTGAAGCCCTTTATTTCAAATTGATTGATTGATTGGCTTTTTGAGACAGCATCTTGTGTAGTTCAGGGTGGTCTTCAGCTCACAACATACCCCAGGATGGCCTCATGCCCGGTGATCCTCCTGCCCCGGCTTTCCCAATGCTGGAATTACATGCATGCATCACCCTAGCCAGCTGTGAGGCCTTTTCCTCCATTCTTCTAGTTGCACTTATGGGTGCTTCCTGACTTGTGTTCCAGAGCCAGTTACCATGTACCTACAGATGCTGATGGAAGTTGTCCCACCAGAGAAGGCTCCAGAGTAACAAGTGCATCTCTAATAGCTCATCCAAAGCGGTGATGAATTTATTTTTGTAAGCACTATTTTGGGTTATTTCTTCCTGTTTTCCCATGAAAAAAATGTTAATATTTCTGTAATTATTATTCTTGGATGGCTATACTTCTATGGGTGAGGCTTTACATAAGAGAAATGATAGGTGTTAGCTGAAGTCATCAGTAGGAACGTCAGTTAACAGCAGCCTGGTGGCAGGATTACACAAAATCCACTATCATTCTGATGGTTATTATTTAATAAGGGCACATCACACTTACTTAAACACAGGGTGGAACTGGGGGTAGAACTCAAGAGTAGAGCCTGTTGTAAGGTGCTAAATTCTGTCCCCTGCAGTGAAAATTCATTCATTCATTAATTAAGTTAAAATAAAAAATATTCCTTAAACTCAGTGATCTATAAGTCTATTCTCTTATATGAAGGTAGGTCATATTCTTTGCTTTGATCAGTATGGACTTGGTTACTTTTCTCGTTACTAAGGCAAATACCTGGCAACCAGAGTTAAAGGAGGGAAGGTTTGTTTTGGTTCACTGTTTGTAGAGATTTCAATCCATAACTGGCTGTCTCCAAGGCTGGGTGGCATGGCACGGGGTCATCACAGCACAGGCAGGTGGCAGCTGAAGACAAGCAGCAGTAGCACACAGTGGTTGCAGCTCTTTCTGTCCCTCATGCTGTCTGCCTGAAGGGTGAGTACCAGTCACACCCAGTCCAGGGCATTTGCTGTCCTCTTTTATGATGTTGGCCTATAGCTCCACACCAGTCAAGGGAAGTTTGCCTCCCACCTAGCCATCGTAGCCCCCCATTACAGGAACGAGCCTTCTTGGAGTGCTCTACATTTGAAACCTGGTACAGGGATTGTTACTGCAGATATAAGAATGGTTACAAAGACCCTGGTCCAATTCCCAAGAAAGGCCAACCAGAGACACCAGCCTCAAATCCATGCACAGGTATAATGTGGGTGAATCCCATGGGTGGAACAGGCCATGGGGGCAGGGGGGTGCTGATCCCATGTTTTCCCAGTGTGTTTTTCATTGGGTTCAGGTTACTTGGTGTTCTGTATGCTTCGGTTACCTGAATGTCAGACTGTTTCCTCATATTTGGGAAGTTTTCTGCTATTACTTCTGCCCATATTTTTTTAATGTCATTAGTATTGACCTCTTCTTTCTCATTGATACCTATTAGTCTCACATTGTTCATCTTTGCATCATCTTGAAGGTGATGGATTATTCTTTCCTGCATCCTCGTTGTTTTTAAGAGATCCTTTCTTACCTTTTCACTAGCTGCACCAGCATCTTCAAGATCTGAAACTGTTTTCACATTCACTTAAATGGTTTTGCAAGCTTGTGATTGAGATTTTAATTTCCTCTATATCTCTTTGACTCTGATTCATGCGGTCTATTTCTTTCCTGTATTGCTCATTCAAGGAATCTGTCATTTTTCTAATCTCCTCTATTTTTTATCAATATCTTCTTTAGAAGAAATTATAAATTCTTTTACTGCAGTGTTTTTTTCAGATTGGGTTTCCTCCCTATGTTTCTGTAGTTGCTTCTTTACTTCAGATGCTATGAATTCTGAGAATTCCTTTTTTTTTTCAGAAAAGAATTGCACTCTGAGTTCCTCTATATCTTTCTGCTGTTGCTTATTTACTATCGACGCTATTAATTCATGCATTTGAGCTGAGCTAGTGTCCTCTGCACTTGTTCTGGGTGGGCATTGGATTTCCTCCATATGTTTCTGCATTTGATTCTTTACTGCAAATGTTATTAATTCAGGGATTTCTGTTTTCATTTCCAATCTGAGTTCCTCTGTACCTTTCTGCAGCTGTTTCTTTATTTCAGAAGCCATTGATTCATTGCTTTCAGCTGTGTAATTCCCAATTTGTTCTGTGTTAGTGTCCTCTGCACTTGTTATGGGTGTGCTTGGGTTCTGAGGTTGCATTTTGTTCCTTCTCGTCACTTTGTATAACATTGTCTTCTGACCTTTGTTGTAGATCTTTGTTGCAATTATAACCTTAGCATATACTGAAGTTCAGGTGCAGATCTACAAAGTTTGGATTTATCCAGCTGTTCCTGGCTTGGGTCTGGCTGCTGTGCTCAGCTTCTTCCTGCTGCTGCCCTTGGTGGTGAACCTGTTGTGCCCCTGTGGCAAGATGTTCTGCTCCTGGACTAGTTGGGTGGTTCTATCCTCTACACTCTCTGCAGGGATTGCAGCTGCAGGGTTTCACCCCAGGGCTATATGCCAGGCCTGAGCTGAGCCTGGAGGGGACAAGGTGGAGTAGTGGGGAGAGGCAACTCTCACACACACTCAAGGGGCCTGGACTAGGACTGGATCTGGGGGTTCCTGGAACATGACAGAAATTCCTACCCTGTATGCGGGATGTGTGGGGGTACTACTGATTGATGGGGGGCGTCCTAAGAGGGTGGAAGAGGTTTTCACCCACGCTGCGCCTGGGCTGGGACCCGTAGTAGGTTCTGCCAGTGCAGGGTAGCCAGAAGCTCTCCCACACACTCACCGGGCCTGGGCTAGGACTGGGTCTGGGGGTTCCTGGCGAGCCCATGTTTTCCTATCTGTGCTTTACAAGACAGAAAGAAAATGTGTAGTTTGCCACCTGCAGCAGTGCAAGTTGGGGCCAAAGGAGGCTTTTTTCCCCACCTTAGCCTTGAGACTGGAGATTTTATATTATATGCCCAAAATAGAAAGAGATCTTCCTACTCAGTATTTCTCTTCCTCCAGATGGAGACCAGGCCATCAACCCTCCCCCCATGTTCACCTCTGGAGTGTCTTCTGAAGCACTGGAGAGAGAGTAAAAGCTTGAGAAAGAAGGCCTTCACTTTTATTGTATGGGAGCTTGGCCAAGAAAGGTGGACAAATGGGGGTTGTCAATTATAATACTGTACTCCAATTGGATATATTTTGCAACATGGAAGGCAAATGAAGTGTTTTATATCTAGTTACCCTTTAATCTCAGAAACTGCCATGAGTGGTTATCTCAGTGTTCCACTGACCTTCCTCAGTTGCTTTGGGATTAATCCCCTCACCTGCCCCAGTGGGAAGTGACCCAATCCTCGGGGCCCAAAAGGAAGAAAGCAAAACCCAGAGAGTCTCCTGGATAGGAATCCTGAAATCAGGCCCTGTGACCCAGCTGCTAACCTGATGCTCCTCTGTTGAATGAGGATGAGCTGAACCAATCATTCACTTCTGCTGAGCTAGCAGAAGCTAAATGAGATGTGGGGGACATTTGCAGACAATCTTGACAGATATGTCCAAGCCTTTGAGAGAGTTGTGTCTCTCTTCAGACTCACTCAGGTTGATGCAATGTTCATCTTCAGGGGAACTTTGAAGCCAGGAGAAAAAAGATTCTGAGGGCTGGCCAGATAGCTCAGTGGACTAAAGTGCCTGCTTAGGCAAGTGCTAGGGGACCAGAGGTCAATCCCCATACCATGCTGGCCCTGGCATGCTGAGACAGTGAATGAGACTCAGCATGGTGGCATGTGCCTGCAATTCCAGCACTTGGGAACCTAAAACAAGAGGATCACTACAAGTCTAATCTGTATAATGAGACCCTGTAAACTCTGTACCAAATACATTAAAAAAAAAAAAAAAAGATTCTGAGATTCTGGAGGACAGGAAACACCTACCATGAGCCTCACAGATATGCTGTAAATGAGGCAAGTGAGGAGGAAGAGGCAGGGGAGGGAGCAAGGGAGAGGGTGCCAAACCCTGCTGGACTTACTACACATCCCAAAGAGAAAGGGCCCTTCACACTTCATTACATCAGGGATGGGCCAAAAGCAGCAAAAGTCAAGCTGATAGATTATGCTGTGCAAATCAAGTTTATCAGGAGGAAAATGAGCCCCCATCAGTGTTTTTACAAAGGCTTAAGGCTGCTATGACTGAACATACCTGCACACATCCTGATGGCAATGAAGGCAAAGTTGTCCTCAAGGACAGATTTATCTCTCACTCTGCTCCTGACATCTGCTGCAAACCCTTTCAGCTGATGGCCAACCCTAATAAGGAAAATATAGAGCTGAATGATTGTCTCTGAGGGGCTATGAAGGTCTTTTATGCTAAGGACATGGAAATCCAACAAGAGAAAAAAGAGACCTCAGGAACTAGTCACTGCTCTCCAGTACCACCCAATGAACAAGTTCAAACTTGCTAGCATTGTAAAAAGCCAGACACTTTCAAAAGGATTGCCCCCAACAGGACAGAACCTGATATTAGCCTCCCAGCCCCTGACCTAGTTTCCATGGAGACCACTGGAAGAGTCAATGCCCCCTTAGAATCCAGGTAAATTCCCAATGAGGGCCCCCGGGGCTTTCATATTCAGTCCTCTCGATGCTATTCAAATAGTAGAGTCCAGGGCTGTTTTAATAGTGGAGAACATGCTCATAAGAAGCCTTCTGGAGGATTCTGGTGCTCATTTTTCTGTTCTTGTTTCGCCCCTGGACAAGACTCTATGTGCACAGCTACTCTGCAAGGTGTTTCAAGACGCCCCATGGGAAGATTCTTCTCTATGCAGCATGCACCTCGAGAAAAGTGCATTTCGTCCACACTTTTCTGATAATGCCTGAAACCGACTCCACTGTTGGGAAAAGGGCTGGGAATGTAGCCCAGTGGCTCAGTGCCTGCCTGGCAAGCACAAGGCCCTGAGTTTGATTCCTGCTACTAAAACCAAAACCAGAAAACAAACATTGTGGGAAGGAGACTTGCTCTCCAAAGCTCAAGTTCAAATCTTGCTTCTTCCGAGGCACAGTCCCATGGTAATTCTCCCTCTCCAAGAATTACAGGTGGATCCGGCTATGTGGACAGGTGGACCCATGGTGGGGAGGGTGAAGACAGCTGAACTTATCTCAAAGGCCCCACTCGCTTTCCTCACCAGAAACAATACCACTTCACCCCAAAGTGAGAGGACTAAAGCCTGTAGTTCAAGGACTACGTAGATGGAAACTATTATGGTCGGCTCTCAGCCCCTATAATACTATTGCCATC